GCCTGGGGAAATGGAGGGCCAGAGGCAGCCGAGGCATGAGAGATTTTGGCAGGGCTCCTGGGCAACGTGCTGGCCCATGGGCTCCCAAACGGACACGCCTTTCTTACTGGCTGCTGCTGACAGCTCGTTAAAAACATGACCTCTAAACGTAACAGCTAAAACTAGAAAACTCTTACAAGAAAACACAGGCATAAATCTTTATGACCTTCGATTAGATAATGGCTTTGAGCCATGACATCAAAAGCACAGCAACAAACGAAAAAAAAAGATAAACCAAATGCCACCAAAATTAATAACTTCTGTGCTCCTGAGGACATTAAAAAGACGATTTACGGAATGGGAGAAAATTTCAGTAAATATCTCATAAAGAACTTGTATCTAGAGGCAGGCAAGTGGCGTGGTGGTTGGGGGCACTGGATTCCCACATGGCCGACCGCGGTTCAGGTCTTAGACCTGGAGGCCTGCTTTCTTCCTTTGCCCTTCTCTCTCTCTCTGGTCAAATTAAATAATAATAGTAATAATAATAATAATAATAATAATAATAACAAATGGAATTAAATGAATAAATAATTCTAAAAAAAGAAAAATCTCAAAGGAACTTGTATTCAAACTACACAGAGAACCCCCCCCACACCCATTCAACTCAACAAAGAGACAGCAGGAACCAGCAGTTAGCGTAACGGCTATGTCGCTGGACTCCCACGTAGTTGACCGCGGTTCGCGTCCCGGACCCGGTGGCTTAAAACTCACGCCGGGCACGTGTGCATGCGTACCCAAAATCCTGAGAGGAGAATGGAGGAGAGGGAATTGCAGCGTGACCATCCCCCCTGGGGGGTGATTTCTCACTTTCTGTCTCTATGTCTCTCTCTGTCTGTCTGGTGAGCGCATGTGCCCTACGCGCCCTACTATGTCCTCAGGGAAAAAACAAAACAAAACAAACAAACAAAAAACAAAAACAAAAGAGACAGCAATCCGATTAAAAAATTAACACTGGACTGGAACAGATTCTCCCCAGAGAGATACACGAATGGCGACGAGCACCCAGAAAGATGCTCGATGTCATTGATCACTAGGAACATGCAAGTGGGAACCATGAGATAGCATCTCACAGCCAGCGGGACGGTTAAGACAGGCAATAGCCTAAGGGTACGGAGAAACCCAAGCCTACGTACGTTACTGGTGGGACTGCAAAACGGCGCAACCACCATGGAAAAGAGTTCGGTGGTTTCTCAAAATTTTAAACACAGGGAACCAGCAGGTGGCGTGGTGGTTAAGGCACTGGACACTCCCACATGGCCAACCAGGGTTCGAGTCCCGGACCTGGTGGCTTGCTTTCTCACTTTCCCCCTCTCTCTCTTTCTGTGTCTCTCTCTGGTCAAATTAAACTAAAATGAATGAATAAATAAAATAAAATCAATAATTCTTAAAAAAAATTTTTAACACAGAACTTCCACATGACCCAACAATTCCAATCCTGGCATACAGGTGAGAAAAGGAACACACATGTCCAGATAAAAACTACACTCTAATGTGGGCCAGCAGGTGGCATGGTGGTTAAGGGTGCTGGATTCCCACATGGCCAACTACGGTTTGAGTCCCAGACCTGGTGGCTTGATTTTTGGCTTCCCCTTTCCCTTTCTCTCTCTGTTTCTATTCTGGTCAAATAAAAAAAAAATAATAATAACTAAAATAAATAAGTAATTCTTTTTTAAAGAATCCCACAAAACTACACACTAATGCTCCCAGCAGTGCCATTCAAATAGCCAAAAGGTGGAAAGAACCCTAACGTCTCTCAGCAGTGAGGAGGAACGCCAACTGGTGTATCCACACGGCAGACTGTTACTCATCACAGAGAGGGAAGCACTGACGCTCACTGCAATGGGAAAGAGCCTCGAAAACGTGCCAGCAACCAGCCGGTGGCATGGCGTGCTGGCTCAGGGCACTGAACTCCTACATGGCTGACTGTGGTTCGAGTCCCAGATCTGGCAGCTTGCTTTCTCACTTTCCCTCTCTCTCTCTCACTCTGTCCCTCTCTGGTCAAATTAAAATAAATACATACATACATTTAAATCATTCTTAAAAAAAGAAAAGAAAGCATGATGCCGAGTGAGGGAAGCCAGACTCCAAATGTCATATGTTGTATGATTCTGTCTATAAAAAATGTCTGGGGGGGCCAGCAGGTGGCATGGTGATTAAGGTGCTGGACTCCCTCATGGCTGACCACGGTTCAATTCCTAGACCTGGAGGCTTTTCTTTCACTTTCTTTCTCTCTATATATCTCTTTCTCTCTGTCTCTAGTGAATGCACATGCCCTAAAGCAAATTTAAAAGAATAATAAGTAAAATAAATAATTCTTTAATTAAAAAAAAAAAGAAATGTCCAGAATAGGCCAATTGAGAGGGCGAGAAAGCAGGTTACTGGTTATCTGGGGGTGGGGTGAAAATGCAGAGACTCGAGGTCACGAACATGTTCTAGAGTGGACCGTGGTGACGGCTACTCAACCCGGCGGAGGCCCGGAAACCACGGACTGCACATTTTCATGGGCGAACCACGTGGCGTGTCCCATAACTCAGTAACGCCGTTACCAAACGAAACGGACAGAGCCCATCTGCCTCTTGTCGCCACCAAGGTCTAGCCTCGGTGGCCCTGCCTGAGCAGGGTGCCCAGATACCTTCCCAGGGTCCAAGAGCTCAGCCTTCCGTGTAGGCGCACCCGTGTTTGAGGTGCTGGTGACTTTCAGCCCCTCGTGTCTCCATGGCGACGTGACAGCATCACGGGGGCCATCTTTGGGCAGCTTCCCAGACAGCAGGTGTACAAGTGCACCACCTCCACCTGCCACCACTCACTAATGGGGTCGAGGCTCGTGGAAGATGCCGCGTGTCAGCCTGACGATGCGCCCGGCCGCCGGAGCGAGGCTGGAGCAGCACACAGGGCCCGGGGCTTAACGGCTCCGCGCAATAGTGGTGCAAGGGCAGACGCTCAAAACCCACTCAAATGAGGGTGACGCGGCAGGTGCTCGGGCGTCCAGAAGCAGAAAAGTGTCAGGTTCCCCGAGACGCTGGTCCTCTGGGTCCTGGCCAACCACCCCGGGGGCGCCGTGGAGCTGTGGGCTGCCCACGTGTCGGGGCCCCTCCCAGCCCGGGGGCGTTGAGAAGCTTGGGCAGGCCCGCCTGGTCCTCAGATGGGCTGAGCTGTTTCCAAAGTACTTGGGGCGAGGGGCTGACTTAAGCCTCATCCTCTCTCCCGGCTCCCTGCTCTCGAGAAATAATTAAGGGTAAGTGGCTCAAGAGGGAGCTGAGTGGCGCTTCTGAAGCAGCTCAGAGCAGACAGCCCCCAGAGAGGCTGAGCCCACCTCCACTGCTCCTCCTGGCCAAGCCTCCGCGTGGGGGGGCTGTGTGGCTTCAAGCTCTTCCCAGAGGGAAACCACCTCTCCTGACACAGGCTGACCCTGGGACCCCTGCCTGCCCGGGCACACCGGAAGGGGGGATGAGGGCCCTGCACGGCCAGCTCTGTGATACCGCGGCCCAGAGGAGGCTGGACCAAGGGGGCCGCCTCGTCTAGTATGAACTCGTGGTTCCGGTAGCTTGGGGGGCTCAGCGTGGGTGGCCCAGTGACCCCCTGCCCTGGAGGGGAGCTGGAGGCTGGGCAGAGGGACAGGCATTGAGATTGAGGAGGTGGGACGGGGTCCTGGGCAGGTCCTGGGACTCCTGATCCTGTGTCCGAGGTTGGCGAGGCACTAGCAGGTCCCTGGGGAGAGGGTGACGTTCTTGGGCACACCACAGGAACCTGCCATCCTCACTCACTGGTGACTGTGACTGCCATACACCCGCTGCTGCTGCGTTCTGGGCAGCCAGGGTGGTGAGGAGCGCGTGGACCGGGGGCCAGGAGCCAGGCTGTGTACTCTTGGGTCAGTTGCCCGACTTCTCTGGGCCTCCCACCTTCCTGCGTGTCCGATGGGGTGTCACAGGAAGAACGTGGCCTCTCCGATTCCTACACTGAAGCCCTAGTCCCTGGTGTGATCGTGCTGGGGGCTGGGGCTTTGGAAGGGGCAGTTGTCCCTCGGTGTCTGCAAGGGATTGGTCCCAGGATCCCCTGTGGGTACCAGAGTCTATGGACTCTCAAGTCATGTATAGATATACAAAACGCATTACATGCATGCTACACGTGCGCACACACACACCCTCCTGGACTCTCAAGTCATGTATAGATATACAAAACGCATTACATGCATGTTACACGTGCGCACACACACACCCTCCCAGGCTTTACACCCTCTCTGGGTTACTCGTACGGAATCTTGGCATCAGATACGAGTGAAAAGAAAACACACAGACTTCGGCATCGCCCTAGGGTCCATCTCCTCCCGTTTCGTAACAGCACGGCCTGGCCACATCCCTGGGGGACGAGCCTGCGGACACGAAGCTGCAGCCACGGAGGGCCAGCCGTTAAGTGGGTTAGATGAGGTCACGAGGGTGGGGCCCTCCCGACAGAATTGGCGTCGTAAGAGTAAAGGCCACGGAGTGCTCTCGCTCCACGACGTGAGGACATAGTGGAGGTGGAGTGGAGGCGGAGGCCGTGTGCAAGCCGGGAACAGAGCCCTCAGCGGAAGCCGGATCTGGCAGGCCCTGACCGGAGCGTCTGGCCCCCCAGAACTGTGTGGAAGCACGTTTCTGTCGCTGCAGCCCCTCAGTCTACAGGACTTCGTGATGGCAGGCCCAGCTCCGACGTGGGCTAAGGCCTGGATCCGCGTGAGGACGGCTGCTGACAGCGGGGGAGCGTTAGCGTCTAAGCGCGAGGACACGGTGCTGGCGGAGTGGCCCAGGGACGCAGCGCCCAGTGGTGCACCACTGCCCTGGCATCACACTCGCACGCTCGACGTCCAGGGCGATTCCGACCTCTGCCAGGAGCCCGCAGGGCAGACGCTGGGCCCGCCCCGCCCGACCCACCTGTATCATGTAGAGCTGCGCGATGCGGTACTCGCCCACGGTCATCGGCAGAGGGATCCGGTACTCCTTTATAATCATCCTGGAGCCCGAGCCTTCCCGTCGACGGGGATGGCCGCTGGGGACTTCTAGGCGAGGCTCCTTAAATGACCATGAAAAGCTTCACCAAGGACCCCTGAGAGAGAGAGAGAGAGAGAGGGGGGCATCACCGTCTGCAAAGGCTGCTGGCTATGACGGCACAGGGACGGCCAGTGTCCTCGTGTCCCTTCAGCGAGGCCGTGTGCAAATGCTCTGACCCACCAACAGCCACAGGAGGCTACAGGCTGGCACCGTGCCAGTGGGGCCGGGGAGGGCGCAGTGCGCCTGCTTACTCACAGCCTCAGAAACTGCGGCCTCAGTGTCCCCGGGACTCTAGAGGCAGGCCTGCTGACGCAGTCAGTAAAGATGGCAGGTGGTGGGGAAGGCAGAGGCTAGTCTGAATGTCTCCCAAGGGTCACAGGGTGAGCTCTGGCTGTGACGGGATTAAGATGAAAGATTAACCCAACTATGGAGTTGAAAGGGGGACTCCTGGCGGACAGGTTGGAGGTCATTAGGGGCAGGGCCGTGATTGACTGCTGGTGGATTTATAAGAGAGACTGAGACAGAGGCCCACAGGCATGCACACATGCACCCCTGTCCCTCACGCTGTGGCACAGCCTGAAGACCCTCACGTGGCTCCTGGACCCGGACCTGCAAAGGGTGAGCTGAATAAACCTGCTTTATAAATTACCCAGACAGAGGCATTTTCTGTTACTAGTGACAGGACAGACTGAAACGCAGATCCAACTGAATTTATAGAAAACAGGTGTGAGAAGCTGACAGCTAAGCAGTTGGCATGGTGGTTGAGGCGCTGGGTTCCACATAGCCAGTTCTCTGGTTCAAGTTCAGACCCGGTGCCTTGAAAATCACACTGGGCGTGTGCGTGCGTGCCCAAAACCCCAAGAGGAGAATTGAGGGGATGGATTGTGGCCTGGCCATCCCCCCGGGGTGACTGCTCACTTTCCTTCTCTCTGTCTCTCTCCAGTAAGCACAAGTGCCCTGCAGCAAAAACCGAAAACAAAACGAAGCAAATCTTTTCACGTGGGGACACTTAGTTCTGCTCCCGCCCCCAGCTGCAAGCAGCTTCCCTCCGTCCGGGGAGAAGACGGAGCGATCCTAGGTTTGGCTTTGGGCCAGTCTTGGCACCTGTTCTATCGCTGACGCCGGACGAGTCTCAGAGAGAGAAGAGATCAACAGTGGGGCCGTGTGGGCACACTGCTAAAGCACTGCTCTCTGCAAGGCTGGCCCACGGGGAGGTCCTGGGCCAGCATCTGGAGACCTCCGAGTGCACCCGGCCCTGCTGGGGAGCTGTCTCTCTGTCTGTCTGTCTCTCACAGAGGAGAGAAATAAACATTAAAAGAGAGCTAAGCACACAGTGCTCTCACAGCAACTTCTGCTTAAGATGGCAAACGCTATGTTTGATGAACATATGCACCTAAAGAAACAGGTTCAAAAACACATCAGTAACAACTCAGGGCTCGGAGGAGGCTCACTCTGTTATCAGGGGATGAAACCCCCGGGGAATCAAGTCCTGCCAGCAGGGGCTTTGCTGGAAATAGCGTCTGCTAGCTCCAGAGCTTATACGCTAAATGCTGAGTGAAGGTTTCTGAGATGGGCAGTGGCAGAATCAGGATAGTCCAAGGACGGCGGTCAGTGAGGGTGAGGCTTCGTGGGCTGCAGCAGGACACTGGCTGAGCGCTAAGACGCAGAGCCCGGCCGGCCGGCAGCTTCCCTGGGGCACAGATCTGTTCAGGGCACTTCCGCATCAACCAGCGCAGCTAGCCCGGCTGAGGGAAGTGTGTTTACCAGAACTCTCAGGAAGGCGGGCGGGCGGCCAGGTTTGCTACTTAGGGAGAGGGATGGAGGCCGAGAGATCGTGGAAGCGGGTAAGAGAGAGCCCCGTATTGTTGACTTCTTCACAGCAGGGAGCAGTGCCGGCCCAATCAAAATTCTCACTTCCAATTGCTTTTTCTTTTCTTAAAAATTTGCCAGAAGACTTATGCACTCAGCAGAATTAGAGGTGGGGGGAGAGGGAGAGAGCACCCCTCCTGGGGGCATGGCCACGCTGCAACCTCTTTTTCTTTTTTCCCCATTTCTCCTTCCTGTTGGGATTTGGGACATGCAGACACACACACACACACACACACACACACACACACACACACACACACATACCTGGTATGCTTTTCAAGCTGCCCGGGTTGGGATTCGAACCACAGTCAGCCATGTGGGCTACCATTCCTTTAACCGTCAGGCTATGGGAACGATCCCCCCCCAAAGCTTTTCCACATACTTCCTCATTAAAGCCCCAGAAGCGCCCAGCCTGGAAGGCACCACAGGAGTCACAGAAGGGGACGTGGGCACGAAGTGTGTTCGTGTGACACAGCGCCCCGCCACCTTGAGCTCCTTTACTGCAAGGCAGGGTAACTGCCATGAGTCAGAGCGGCTGTGAGCAAGTCCGCGCCATCACCTAAACAACACAGAGGTCAGACAGTCTCCAGATGGTCTGCAGAAACTCTAAGCAACCCACCCTCTGTGGGTCTTTTTAAGAGAGGGATTTTTGCTATAGGGCATGTGTGCTCACCCGAGAGGCAGAGAGACAAAGTGAGAACCCCGCCCCCGGCGGGATGGCCACACCACAATCCCTTCTCCCCCATTCTCCTCTTGGGATTTTGGGCATACACGCACATGTGCCTGGCATGAGTGTAAGCCACCGGGTATGGGACTTGAACCACTGCCGCCTACATGGGAGTTCAGCGACATAACCATTACACCATCTCCTGGTCCCCTTTTGTGGGTCTTAATGCTCCACATGAATTTGCACCCAAATCAGACAGCTGTCCAGGCCCACCGGGCACACAGGTCAGGAATGAGGCAGGACCTTCAGTGCCGGACTAAGCTTATTCCTTAGCGTCTCCATCTCCTCACGTGACATGTAGGGACAGGAGCCAGGGTGACATCACAGAGCCCAAGCGAGCATCCAGACACTGGCCAGGGTCTCAGATGTCAGAAGTTTGCATGCACGTGTCTGGGACAAGTATGCAATGACACTCCCCAGAGACGAGCTGCAGGTGGGCTGTAACCACGCAGGTGGTGTCTACATCCCTGTGCACAGGCAGAGGACAGCGACGAAGAGGGGACACAGACCCAGAGGCCCTCAGCTCTCCTACCCTCTGGGTGGGGTGGGGCCGGTTCTGAGGACCATCAGACACTGCGGACGCGTAGGATCCAATGCCACAGCACGCTGAGCTCAAGAACAGCAACTGGTCTCTGCTCACGAGGAACTAAGACGCCATGGGAGTGAACAGGGAGCTAGACGGGAGACACACTGAAGGACCAGAGGGGACAACCGGCATTTCTGTGTTGCGAGGACTCAGAAGGCAAGCAGAGCACGTGTGTGGGGTCAGTCTGGAGCAGATCGCAAAGCTCCCAGGACAAGGGATCCTGGGATCTACTGTATCTGCTGAGCCTCGGTTTCTCCACATGTAAAGGGGGTAACGCCAAGAGGTTCACCAAGACAAGGTAAGTGCAGGTCAAGCATGGCCCAGTGCTGATTCATCCTCTGTCCAGGGGACATGGAGGAAGGGCTTCCTGGAAGTGGAGACTGGGCTTCTGGTCCTGGGATCTGCCTGGCAGAGCTGGGAGCAGGGCGAGGAGGACGAGGTGAGGAAGCCTCATGTGACTGCCCACCCACGTGTCTGCCAAGTTCAGCATTAGAGTGGGACTGGATGGACCAAGAGCGTCACTGCTGCCAGGGCACCCTTTTTCTACACACACCAGACGAGGCATGACCATGAAGTGCCAGGCTGCACAACCAGCATTTCTACATGGGAGCCATCACCTCGTGCAAGGCAGCCCCTGACAGCTGGTTCCCCCCACGCCTGCCGGGCTCCTCCTTGGGAAGCCTGCAGAACTCAGCCCCCACTTAGAATGCTCCTGGCAGAGGAGCAGACCCTGAGAAATGGTTATGAGAGATGTCTGAGTGCTAGCCACACTGGGAGGCGCCCTGGTGCTGGCCTTTACTCAGTAAGGAGCAAAGTCAGGCCCGTTTCCTCCCAGAGGCACCTGCACTGGCACACCCAATGTGCGTCAGTGGTGGCGGGTGGAACATTTCTGTTCCTCTGTCCTATTTCGAAATAAAACAACTACTGAAAGCAGAAAACCATCAGCATCAATGAGAAAATGAGGAAACTGCTGCACCCCCAAGCCACAAACCTTGAAGGGCACCAGCTGGAGGTCTAAGCCAAAAGGAGGGGATGCCCTGAGAAACACGCACCACCTTGGACTTCCAATAAATACCAACCACTGAAAGACACAGCCACACCCTTCTGTTAGAATGATGGTATCTTCTCTGTCAACACTTTTTATGATTTTTTGTGTACAGGTCTTGCACATATTTCTTAAATTTATCCCTAGGTGTTTAATTTTTTTATAGTCTAATAAATGATATCATTTTAAAAAAAAAAAAGAATGATGGAATCTAGGCTGTGGATGTTCCCTGATTTTTACATTTTTAATTTTAAAATTAAAGTATTAGTACATACGAACAAGTACACAATATGAAAATTCATATTGTAAGTATGAATTTTCACCAACTAAATACACCCATACAATCAGCACCCACATCAAGAAACGTAAAATCAACCGCCCCAGATGCCTCCATTTATTCCTTCTGGTTACATCCCCCAACCATAGACAACCACCACCCCACGGCCTTTTACCTTCAGAATATGGAGACATGCAGTGTGTGCTCTTGCATGTCTGTCTTCTTCTGACCATGAGGCCAGCTTCTTAATCATTCTATTTTAATGGGAACTTGGGTAATTTCTGATTTAGGGCTAATGTGGATAATACCACTGAATAATCTGATAGATGCAAAGATACAATTTTACACTGTGGGATGGAAAAGGTGGGAGCACTGATGGAGAAATCATGCCAATTCACTATGTCTATGGCAGAATCCCATTTTCCAGGTAAGGGAGATGCCAGAGGCAGTGAGGTGTGGATCATACTAGAGATAGTCATAGACCTAGAGCATTGTTGTGAAGTGCAGTGACCTCATGACCCATGGAACCTGAGAGAGATGGAATCTCTGGG